CCAACCGCATCAGTGTTAAATGAACGCACGGTGGACTGCCTGGTATCCAGATGCACAAGAAACTTAAAGAGCCATGATAACATGCAGTGACCGATAGGTATTTGATCAACTCAACAGTCAGATCTCTGAAACCAGGTTCGGAACGGATCAGACCAGTTTTTACAAACAGACCCCCAGTCATGCTCAGGGGATGTTAACTTTACTTGGATTGTGGATTACTGCCCATTTGTAGTGGGCCTTTGTAAGCATTTAACATTCTTTCAGATAATCACTGAAGAATTTTACCCTAAGAAGAAACCAAAGCTCCTTAAAATAGCACTTTTTGATGGGAAGGGTAGGTGCTTCGGACGGCAAAATATTTTACAACTGCCTGACCCAAACCTGCGTGAAATTTGCGACTTGGCGTGCCTTCCGGTTTGGCTGATATTCCGATAGCAAGTTTCTATAACCTGCTCAGACTCTCTTTCTTTGATTAATTTTTATATCTTCCTATTTCTAAACCATCGGAGACCAAAAACTAACCTCATTTAGGCATGGCCCAAATGCACGCCCAGATTATTTACCTACCCGTAATACACATTGATCAAGAGCACCCAGCGCCACACGCGGCTCACGAACACCAAACTGGTCAAATCAGGAGAAGTTACAGGGGGGTTTCTTTTATCTTGGAGTTCTGTGTGCGGGGCTTTCGTTGAAAGGTGCATTGTCAGTGACAATTATAAACCCCACAATGATTACCGGCGCCGACAATGGAAGTTGGACTGACAACTTTTGCTTTATTTATATTGAGAGCAGTTTATATGATGGCCAATCATCGGCCGGTGAGCCAAACGTGCATTTGTTGCAAAGTCATGGAGAGAATAGTCAAAAGCCATTATGAAGTTCCTTGAAGAAAATAATTTCAATGCTAGTTCCCAACATGGCTTTCGACGAAATCACTCCTGCCTTACTACGGAACAGTGGTCTCGCTCGTTAGACGCAGGAACAAAGGTCAATATCGTTTACATTGATTTCAAGAATGCCTTTGACAGTGTTCCACACCACCGGTTACTTTACAAGGTCCGAGAGTCAGGGATAAGGGGAAACCTATTAAACTGGGTAAAGGAAGTTCTGAATGGCTGATCACAGTCTGTGTGAATTGGTAGTGCGAAGTCAACGCCAGTGCCAGTTGTGAATGGAGTTCCCCAGGGCTCTGTACTCAAACCAGTACTATTTTTAATTTATGTCAACGACTGTATGAATGGACTGGACTGCAATGGAGTCATGTTTGCCGATGACATCAAGTTATGGCGAGCGATCAACGGGGAAAATGATGAATGGGCCCTGCAAGAAGGACTGAACCGCCTCTGCGAACGGTCTGACAAATGGCTGCTGAAGTTCAACCTTTAAAAGTGCGTCGCATTGCGACCCAAAACGAATGGAAGAGCCGATGAAGAGGACTACCATTACCTGCATGGCGGAAGGTGCCTTTCAAAAGTGGCCGAACTAAAATATCTTGGGATCAACATTTTGTCGACCCTTAAACCTTACTCTCAGCGCGTTAGGGCGGCCAAAAGGGTCATTAATGTTCTCTTTGCAATTAATCGAACTTTCATCCATAAAGACAAAGAGTCGTTGGGAAACGTATACGGAGCGTTCATTCGTTCACTTCTGCAATATGGAATCCAAGCGTGGAGTTCGTGGCTAAAAAAGACTATATGTTGCTGGAAAGAGTTCAGAGGAGAGCAAGAAAAGGTGCGAAAAGCTTCAAGACTTAACCTTACAACTACAGACTTAGTGAACTTAAATTAGTTGCTCTGGAGTACAGACAGATTCGAGGGGGTCTCATACAGGCGTATTGGATTTTAAGGGACCGGGACTGTGCACTAAATCTCGATGACTTCTTCACCTTGGCTACGAAAACAAACCTGCGTGGGAACTGTCTAAAACCTAGAGGATCCCGATGTCGCCTGGATATTCGTAGGTACTCTTTTTCACAGCGAGTTGTCGGTACCTGGAAAGGGCTTCCCGAGGACCTGATAATGGCGGATTCCGCGGAGACATTCAAGCAAAGATTAGACCGAATGGTATTACCGACAAAAACAAGGGAAACTGGAATGCCCGCTTCTGGCTTATTAGCCGTCGTCAGGCAGTCATACCCAACCCTCAAGTGTGGAAAACCTTAGGCTCGAACTCACGACCTGTTAGTTAGAAGCCCACACCTCTAACCACTGGGTCACGAGCCCGTGGTTAGAGGCGTGGACTTCTAACTAACAGATCGCGAGTTCGAGCCTCGGGTGTTCCACACTTCGGGGTTGAGTATGATTGGCTGACGACGGCGTATAAGCCAGAAACGGCCACTCCAGTCTCCCTTGTATTTGTCGGTAATACCATTCTGCCTATATCATGCGCCGCTATGCGGCTGCTGGTTGGGCTCAAGATAGAGCCCGTAAATTGAAACGGAACGAGTGAGTTCCGTAAGAAAGATCGGTGAGCGTCCCCTGCCAATGACGTAATGTATATTTGCTCGGAAAATACCAGTTGTATGCAAAGAACAGCTCTGTTGTGCCAAACCAACGCATTGCATCCAACTACCGCTAATATGGAGGATTATTATTTCATTTTACCGCTATCTTCTACGTTCTAGAGTTTGGGTCCCGCATTCCCAAAGGAAGATATTCTGTTAAGTGTATATACAACTGACAACATTTTGGTACCATGCTTATTTAAAGTTCGATATTGCATGTAACGTTTTCATAAGGGGTTTCAAGCACATTGCTTAAGACAATTAAAATATAGTAACCCATTCTGACCTATAGTGACTCGACAAACACTGGGAAAATGTACTGTATGTATGCGTGCATATGTGTACGTTTTTCAAACTTCGTTTGAAAATGGGGTTTCAAATGGCTATACCTATTTCCCTAATATATACTGAACCGATTTATTGTAACCTAACTCCAAAGCAAGATAATTGGAAATTGGAATGTCCTCCCCGTCGGGCACTGAGTAACATAGCGGCAAGTAATTCATTCCCGACTTTGAAAACTCACAATCACAAGCGACAATGTAGACTGAGCATTTACCGAGGCACCCATCATTATATGACGCACAATTTCTATGGTGTGCTTCTCGCATATGCTCGTAGGTTTTCGCGCGACGATATGTTGGTTGGACCATTTTGTTGTCCCCACCTCCGTGGGAAGCGCTCATAGCTCCCCATGGCAAACGGCCATATACGCACGCCCTTCATTCTACAACATTATTTCTAGAAAGCATCATGGATTTTTACCTGCCTGCTTATGTTATGAATTTGGGAGCGGGTGTGATTCTCGCTCACTCTGAGAATGCATTTTTTATTTTTTTCCAGATTTCTCGGTGTACATATCATTTTCATGTTCAGAGGACCGTGTCTGTTTTGATACGCTGAAGGTTTGAGGAAGCAATTAAGTGACATCAAAGGTAGGATGAGTTTACATTTTCTAGTTTGTAATGAATCAATCACCGGGAGGCCAGATACTTGGCCAAGTTCTTCTTCCATGAAAATGAACCAGACAGAAACTCCCTATGGTACATTCTGTGAGCAAAATCTCATATAATGAGGATCCAGTTTAAAGTTAACAGTATTAAGACAAGAATCGAAACAGCAAGCGCAGCAAAAATCGTCTAAATAGACTATCACAAATGGAGACGAGTAGTCTAATATGATAAAAGAAAATGCCTAAAGGCTGCATTAAAATGAATGAAGGTATCATCATCCTATGCTAACCTGGGTGATGTATGTTTCTTTGCACTTACGCAAGGTTTGCACCAGTGCATTACCCTACACTGCCACGCTAAGATATCCATTTGTTCCCACATACTAGGGCAAATCATGAGCGTTTACCCTTAATAAGATTTCTATGTAAACGATATTTCGGTTGTTCAAAAAAATCTTTGGGTTAGTCTTAGAGACGGACAACATAAGCAGACCGCAGCATGAGTTTCTTATGGTCCCTCTGACGTTTGCTACCGATCGTTGATGGCTGTTTAGTTATCCGTTATTATTTTCGAACGGGGATTTAGAAAATTCCTGGCTCACAGCGGTGGCGGTGGAAAAGACGATCAACAAAACAGTATCTAAGACACATTTAAAATTCATTTATAGACAAACTGTACATTTATTGGTAAACTGAAAGACTTGGTCGTTTAAATAAAGTGATAGATGTAATTTGTATAGTAATCGCATTTTGGAAGCGAGTTACAATTTCCATCCAGTGAATTTACGCAAATGCCGATAAGAATCCCAAGTTGAAAGGGGTCGCTTGGTTGAATTTTGTCCCAACTAGCACATACTTACAGCCGGGACTATGTTTAAGCTTCTGACTACGGTTGGGGTTCTTGGTAGGGTTTGGGTTTGCGGTGGAGCTACGGTTAATGTTATTCTAAGGCTCAGCAAAGAATAACATAACAGACCGATGGCCCAGCAAACAAAAACGCAGAAGACATTTTTACACGAATGTCGTCTTTTTATGCCAAAACTCTCATCTTGAATTTCCGTGTATCTTGCCTGTTAATTATTCTTCCAGGACTTTGTTTGTTTAGGCTGTTAATTGTCATATTGCTCGGTATTTTGGCTGCGTATTACTTGTGTTGGGTTTGTTTATACTCAGGACAGCTGTAACGTCCTTGGACTGTTCCAGTCCATTTCATAGCCAGTCCCTTCGTCGTATTATGTCGGAGGTATTTTTCCCTTTAAGACTTTTAATTCCTTTTTTCAGACCATATCGGAAGCCTTGAAAAAATACCTCTCTGAGTAAGAATTTCAGCCGTTTCTGATTCTTAAGCGTTGACGGAATAATAGGCATTTATGTGTCAGACAAGGATGGCGCTAGAATAGCCGGTGGTATGTTTACTGCCATCTCACTGTCACAGCTTCTATTGATGAGGTGCCTGAGCAGGCTTTCTTAAATTATGTTGTCACCTCCTTTATTGGCTCAATACAGCAGGCGAACAAAATTGGCCTCGGGGATTTATCGTACATGGTCACCCGGTATCAGGACATGACTGTAAGTACCTAGAGTACCTTCCAACCTACCTTGCTCTCTTGTGCCGGCTTTAATCTTCCTTCTTTGGACCGAAAGCTTGTGTTCTTTTGCCAATGTTGATTCCATATGTCGGTTATTTTACGTCCAACCTACCGGTCTTAAGTATATCGTCTTGCCCAATTGGGAATAAGCGGTTACCTCAGCTCATCCGCAAATGACGAATGCAAGCTGCTCTTTAAGTCTGCCCTCGTATCTGGTGAATAAATAGTTGCGGATCAGCAGGGACGACGCCACGACGGCTGCCTACAGGGCCCGGTAAAAGCACTATGTCATGACGACCAGGGCTTGCTTGCTATCGCAGCTTTTCGGTTAGGTTCCTGAGCCAAGGCGCTAGAGGAGACGACCTCAAATACGCAGTCCGAGCGACTGCTAAGACCCATTACTACTGGAAATCCTCAGAAAACCCCATAAGGCCGGTTGGACCATGCACGATCACAACTGTGCATGCAAGATTAGCTCTGGTTTGTGCACTTTGAAAACCCAAGTTAGTCGTATAATCAACTTGAATATTTTCAAAGCCTAATCAGCCTGTTCCTAAGGTGCTTCTTTATAAATAGAGGATTCGTGGTCTTTAGAACTGTGTCAAAACTTTCAATTGTGGCATTGTGACTACCCTCTTCCCTCATCGCGTATAGGCGTTTCTAAATCCTGGAAATGTCCCTTTAAGATCGCTCGCCCAGAGAGTCAACTTGGTGTGTTGGCCGTTCTTAGTACTCATTTAATGCTCTAGAAGTTTCTAACGACGGAATATTTCTATAGTTGGCAGTCGAGGGTCGGGGCTTCTTGACGATTCCTTCCACCCCAATCCGTTTAATACAAATTAGGCGTATTAAGCTCTACCTTGGTGTTTCGCATCAAGCTCGGCTGGGAGACATTATATCAGTATTGGAATCCATATCAAATTTGGTTACAATCAACCTCACCACCGACTCGTAAAGACTTTTTTGATAACTCCCTCAACTATTTCTCAGTGTCTTGCCGGGTTTGAATAGTCTTACTAACCCAGTTAAGAGAAATTCATCGGCCTTGGCGGGATTCGAACTCACATCAGAAACAGCAGTGTTTTACTATTACCAACGCTCTTTCCATCTGGTTTGCGAGGCCTCAACCGTTAGTGCCGATTAACATTTGTCCTGGTTGTACCAGAGTCTTGCCCTTTCCATCGCCGGTTCGAACTTCGCCGAGATGGCCCCATCTTTCACAACTGGGTTATTTGAGTCATCGAGTTGTTGTCGTCATTCGCCTATTTTAATTAACTTTCTCTAACAGCAAACCCTCCCCTATTCTTATGGCTATGTTTACAGTCATGACATGCTGCACATTATGCGGCATTATCAGTCTTTCTCCTCTCAAGTTATTTCGTATTGCCTTGAAACCGCAAGCTTCATATACTAATTGTATCGGAAGCCAATCATCCATCTATAGCTCATAATTTCGGTAATGAGCACGACTCATGCAATAAATGGTTGCCAGGTATTCTTTTTCTCGTAATGATAGCAAAGTCGTTCGGAAAGAGTCGAAATTACCATCATCTGCGCGACACCTTTAGATTTACAAAGTAACTGTCCAGCTGAAGTTGCTTTAACCGATCGTGGTATCCTATTTGATACTTACATCTGTTTAACCGACAACGACGACCAAAAGACGAATTGTGGAGGCAGTAAACTATCCTTGACCGTACTATTATTTTAATTTTTTTCAGATTTGCCAGTTTAATTACGTTGGCAACCAGGCTACTCCACCCGTTTACCTTACCGTCGTCGGCACCAGTGTCTGTGATTTAGGTACGCTTGCTTTTTTCTCTAATTGTTCGCAGTATTTTCGTAAGAATTTAGTTTTCTGGAATACAAAGTTAGCACTAAGGACACTTTTAACCCTGTGTAAGCTGGTTTTCTGCCTCTCAGTGACCACTTTTTGTATTCAGTTTGTAGAACTGGTCATTTTCTCGTTAAAAGTGTCATCTGTACATTTCACTGCAACACGTCGCAGTAGGCTGCACAGACAACGTGACCCAAATGTGACTTAGCTCACGGCTCCCGGTGGGACGTCGTAGCTTGGTGGCTGGCTGTGCTCAAGCCTTCCGCCTGCTGTCGTGGGTTTGAGTCCTACCGAGGTCCGCGAGTTCCTCACAGTCAAAATGAACTCTGAAATGTTTAGTTTCAGGGTACCAGTAGGTCCGAGTAGAAATTTACTTAGCATCTGTTGACATGACCTATAGCGGTAACTCACCTCTCTATTCAACTTATGTCTTCCTTCTGGGGGTCGTCGTCTAAATTTCGCCAAAGTCTCCTCGATTCAGTCTGCAGCAGCCCAGTTCACTCGAAGAAATCAAGGCTAATAAGCAGCATACCTGCCTCTTGAATTCGTGCCGTCATCATCAACTGGCGCTTCAAAAACCACAGCCTGTCTTTGTTGGTCATCCCCCTTATGACACTGTGCTCGTCTCCGCTGCCTCACTGAGGAGTCACCTACCGTATCAAATGTAGTTTAGCATCTACAGGGTGGGGATCAGGTTGTTCGTGGCACGCGTAGACGGGTGGTCCAGTTTTGTCAGTCCATATCCTGTCGTCCTGATTTTTCGTGTTATGCAAGGTGTATGATAAAAGTCCATTTTACTACCATTTTACCATTTTACGTGCAAGTCACTACTGCTGTGCCAGATTCTTAGGTCAGTAATGGTCGCGGTCCACGACAGTCGGATTACCAAGCTTTTCGGATGGGGGTTACCCATGAGGATCAGTCGTAGGTCGGCATATGTTCAAAATTGCCATTCAATGCTTACGTCTCGTATTGGATTATTGTTTCCGTCGCTGTTTTCTCTCTTGCACTAGGTTTGATTACTTCACTCGAGCCCGCCCTACGTCCGATGCTGATCCGTTTGGCCTCAAAGGCATCGTCTCGCTTCCAGGCTGAGGCGGCAATGTTACGCAATTCCGGTGGACCCTATTATAGGGTGTGATTTGCAGGCTTTTTTGTCCACTGCCTTCCCCAGTCTTCCCCATCTCATCTTTATTTTGGCCAGAATTTCTAACTCTGTATAAATTCTCCATGCCTTCAAGCAGAGTGTTCACTTCTGTCACCAAAATTATTCCGTCAAAAGCCAGTTCGATTATGCCTAGCTATCAACAACACGTCCTTTTCGATGTACTAAGCACGGCCTTGACGTAGCACCAAGGAGCACTTGGGACTGATGTCCTGGTACAGACAGTCTATTGGGCATAGTACGTCCACCTATCGCGTGATAGTGATGTTTGTGACAACTAAAGAACGATTTCTCATATAAAAAGCCATGGAGACAGAGTTGAGAGGGCAGCGTTTGTCGACTTCGACTGCCAGAGCGACTGGTAGCAAGCGTTGTCAGGAATGCAGTCAAACGTACGTGGTCTAACAGTCAAGAGGCGAGGTCCGTACGACATTGCAGCGACGGCGTGCCTGAACAGTTTACAGTCTTCGCTCCCTAGAGGTAAACTAAGACACACTCATACTTGGTGGAGGGGCGCTCACCGATCGTTACTACGGAACTATCTCGTCCCGTTGTCGTTGCTCTGAAGGTTGTTTTCCCTCTCGACCTCATCTTGGGCGACGTCGTTGACTAGTTTAATGAAAATCAGATTGTCGGGCGATTCCACTACCTAAACTTACTGGCTCTATGTTCTTCACGCCGTGGTCGTTCTTCGTTCTGGGCACTATCGAATAAAGGACGTTGGGTCAGGCTCGAAGTCTCTTTCAGATGATGAAGTGACAATTGATCTCTGCCAAAACGATGTACTTTAGGTCTTTCTACGATTAGTTTGTTCCTTTGTGTCTGTAGCGTCTCTCCACACGACTGAGTGGTGAGAGTTCAATTCAAGTACTTGCGTGATATTTGCGGCCTCTAAATACAGTTATTGTGGAGATGTTGGGAAACAGGACCCACCGAGAGTATGAGGCTGGGACAAAGTCGGCCTTAGACTACAACAGCCCTCGTTCCTGGGTTTACCGCCAATTTTATTGACCTGAAGTGACCACTACTATTGGACGAAAGAAGGGCGGAAGGTGTTGAACAGATACAACGCCGGGATTAGCGTACACTTCCTCCGCTGAAATAAACATGACATGTTTCAAGAAACTAGAACTCCTGGCTTTTGACGGTGCTGTCTGATGAGCCGACCATTGTCTCCCAGAGGATAGTTCAAATGACAAATAAGTCACCTGCCCAGATCACGCGGAAGTTGCTGGTACTCTCACCGGCAACAAACGAACTGCACAAATTAATATATAGCAGGTGAAGTCTTTTTGCACGGCAAGGAGCATCGCAAAACGCTGATGAGGACCAAAGCTGATCGCCTTGTAGCAGCACAAGGACATATTTTCGTGTTAATAGATCCAGCGAGATGAACCTTTGCTTTACTGTGCACTTTTCGCAAGTATGGCCTTAACTCAAGCAATACTGACTGCCAATTACCTCAGCGCTCTAGTCTTCCCTGAAATCTTAAGCTCTCGCTCTAAATATTCCTAGTTAGATTGACAGTGTCACACCTGAGACTCGTTTTTTGATTCTCGCCGACTTTCGAGAGGGGCGATATCATTTCCCCTCAACGTCGAAATTTGTCGCCGATTTGGTTCCCCAGAGGACTGCCAGTTGTCTCTAAGCAGCCGCTGACTTGAATCGCTCCACGCCGTGTATTACCTAATGCAGGGGGGGGATTATGGGTTGTATTCGAGTCAAGATAAGCACCAAACCCCCTTTGGTCGCCCCTGAGTACACAGTTTGGAATTCACAGGAAGTCAAAGCGGGTCGTATATTTTTTGACTATTTCTCATGCATGGGTGCGCTGTGCCGTTTTCGGAGTCATTTTCGAACCATATAACTTGACTTCTATAGTGTGCTATTGGATACCATAGGTTTCTGCCACACTTGTGCCTGTGAGGGTAGTCGCTGTGCAGTGAGTTGGTTTGGTGTCCCCATAGCCGATTTTTCCTCTCCTGTGCGACGACGGGCGGCGGCGGTCGGAGGAGAATTAATTTACCACATGTACTTCTCACTATCCTGCTCCTCGCCCTCGCGCTGCACTTCCTCAGGCGGGCGCTCAGACGTCTCGTCTGTTGTAGTTGCCACTTCCCGACGGTCGTAAATTTCACGCTCGTGGGTGTAGGCTCTGATCGACTCGCCCAGCTCGCCGTCCTGTTCCTCACCAAAAATCTGGTGGTGGGCAGCGCTCAGGTACTTGCGTTCGTCGCGCTTCAGCTTCTCCCGGTAGGCACGTCGACACACCTTGGGGAGGACATTAAAACAAGTGGTTAAACTCCCACTACTTACACGCGATTTAAGTAGTGGAGAACCGCGGCCGAAAAATTGCAAGAAAAAACAAGCAGAGCGTGCGGCCTGTTCACCACCACAATCAGGTTATGGTGGGGCATTTGCTTGGCCATAGATCATGCAAAATGTTAGTAACAGCGGTGACGATATACAAAAGACAGAAGGCAGTAATGGTGGTGATCGGTGCAGTGACGGTGAACTTAGTGCCAGTGATAACGGTCGAAAAGCAATATCTGAGATCAAGTACATCTACTACTCGAACTTCTCAAGGACTCCGATCTACTATTTTTTTAAGTTATCTAACAACGATCTAAGCATTAGGCTACATTATACGCTCAAATGCACCGGCTGTTTGGGGAGTTGTGACAATTCGAGCCGTTTGTATTACGCTTGACCCAAAATTTCAGACTTTCGCCCACACACAGTGATTGAAGTTCTCCGTACAAATTTCAAGCCCGTGCATTCCCAGCTTTGCAGACTAAAAGAAGACTGCTTGTCCATCACGGTTTCTGCTGCAGTTCGGCTTGTGGAAACATCTGAAGTGAACTGTTTGCGCTGGAGGAGCGCTGAATCAAAATGGCGGCCAGACCGGCTCACGGCGCCTGTTGATTGGTCAGCGTAGAGTTCGCGCAATTTCACAAATACTGCGCCAGCCTCCCGCGGCCAGTTTCCGCATCAGATGGCTGACCGGCTTGGGCTAGGGACATGAAATTGAGGTCGACTCTGCAAATTGCACCCTCACGACATTCAGTGCAGTATTCCTCAGAAACCATTTAACCCACGTTTAAACTACCGCAGTGTGCTAAAATCCGTGGCTTTCAAGGGTCTGTCATCTGAGGAAAGAGAGTTATGCTGTAATGAATTCTTCCTAATGCGATTTTTATGACGCTCTTATTTAGACGGAGTCCAAGCCGCCACTTTGTTGTTTCGATGAGACCTCGCTCATTATGTGACGATAAGGCGTGTGTGACAAGCCCAGATGGGCTGTTCAAGTTCGTCTGTCACTGCGACCGATCTCGCTTGCGGTTTTCTTAACTCTATCTCAACATCGGGCTCAGGTAGTAGATGCAGTCCAAGTCTACCATCACTGTAAACTAATTAACTTGCAAATCACTATCGCTGCGCCCGCCATGCTATGGGCCACATACAGTACGTGACCGATCTCATTAAATATTGACCAAAATTCTGAAATGCGTTTTCGACTAGAAAGGATTAATAAGGTGGCGTTGTAATAGTAATTACTGTGTAGCATAATGTTATAATATTTTGGACTCGGCAGTATGTCGGCTTTTGAATCCACTTCTTTTTGACCTGCAGAAACTGTACCTAATAAAAAATGACTACTTAAGTAGCATGCATTTTCCACTTTGATTTTCGGTGATCTTGTAAATTTAAAT